GATGCGGCTTTTGCTTTGTGGCATCACTTTTTGGGTTGCAAGTTTGGAGGAAAGATGTAAAAAGAAATGGGGGGAGGAGGGGCGGGAATAGCTGGGTGCTGGAAGTGGTGGCTTGTCCAAAAACTGCGATGCCGTTCTCACTTGGTAAAATGCAGAACCAATGCTCTTGTCTGTTTCACATAACTTGTGATAAGTTCTGATAGAAGTCAACTGCTCGGAAAAGGCCTGAGTATTAGCTTTCTTACTGCTAAAGTCTGAGGAAACAACTCTTAAGTGTTTTAATTTATGCCTCCTGGTTGTAAGGTGGGAGGGAGACCTTGTCTTTTAGGGGTTGGGGATGGGATGGGGGCTTCAACTTCTCAGGTCTCCCTACTTAAGGCAGGATCTATTATTAAGTCCAGTTTTTTCTTAGGGTAGATTTTTTTTTGTCTCAGTCACATGTGTATATAACATACTGGGAACCTCTTTGTATTTGATTGACCTTTCTTTGTATACCTCAGGATATATAAAACAATTAAGTTTACTATACTCTACCTGGTAGCTGAGAGGTATTATATGTGAATTAGCCACTACTATGACTATTTGAGGAAGAGAAATTAGTCCAAAATATGATGTTAAATTGTGATTACATTTGTTCATTGCATAGGTTTATCAAAGCACTTTTATGTGAAAAATCTTGATCTCAAAAGGAAAAAAAAGAAAATTTGGTTTGATCTGGCTTAGCTTTGTGTTTTTCTCCTGGTTAAGATGACTGATAACGTTTCCCATTTGGCTGGGATGTGTTTAGGATGAGAAATAAATTGGATGTAGTTTTTGTACTCCTTTGAAAGGACCTGCTATTGAGGAATGAAAAAAAAATTAAACTTAGAAAAGCCACCTTAAATGGGTGCACTTCTTTTTTAGCCTTCTGTTTTTTTTAGTTTATTTTAAAATGAGTCAAAGAATAGAGACTAGGAATATTTGTGCAAATGAATAGGTATCCTCAGAAGTTTTTATGCTGAAAAATTTATTTCAAAAGGTAGGACACTATAAAAACAAAGGAGAATTTGTAGAAAATGGCAACAAAGCAATGCACTCAAATCAGCCATTTGTTTTCAGAAAAGTTCTCTCAAAGTAAGGGCAACGTCATTGTGTAAGTGAAGTTGGATAATACTATAGAAAATGCTTTCCAGTGATCCGGAATAAGTTGGAGGCTTGTTTTGTGTGTGTGTGTGTATGTGTGTGTGTGTGTGTGTGTGTGTGTGTGTGTGTGGCATTTTTTTTTTAGGAGGAAAAAGAGAGCACATATCAAAGCCAGAAAGATTTGCATCTCAATGTAATGTTAAAATTATTTTATTTTACATAAATAGTGTAGGGTGAATCAAGCAAGCATATTGTCTTCTAGCATCCCCAGGATTACATTAAAATCAGCAGATGGGCAAGTTATGATTAGGTTAGACTTGACATATGCAGAAATTATGCTACTGTATTTTTATATTAAAAGTACCATGGGCTTTTTTGAATGAAATAATGCAAGTAAGCTTTTAAGGCATAAGAAATTTTTAAAAAAATACATTAGTTTACAGAGATATTCTTAGTCAGCAATTTAAGTGTATTAAATAAGTCCTTTCTTCCCTCTCCCTGCAAAATTTTATTTAAGTCTCAACAGAATATTTAGCAAGGTAAGACCAGTACATAAGTGCATTGGGTTACATAAAGCTCCTGTCTCCAGGTAAAAGTTTGGTAATTGACAGGGTTTGATTGTTAAGAACATTTAGAGAGAGGGAGAAGAAAGACAGCCATGAACAATATTTGCTGTCTGGTGCACTCAGATGAGCTGTAGTCTCTATCTTCAAAGAGATGTAAGTAATCTACATTGGGAGGGAAATTTACCCAAATAACTGATACATGATGCATTTTGTGGAGAAGCCTAGGAGGGAGGGATTAAATTCTACTAGATCAGATAAGGAAGGTTTTGAGGAGGGAACAGCATTTGTGTAAATGATTTGGATGATTTAGTCATGATAATCATAATAAGTAAACACATTATGTAATGCTGATTGCTGCTAAACCCTTATATGTACTAATTTACCTGGGTTTAATCCCTGTAACAACCATATGGAGTAGGTATTTTTTATTATTTCCATTTTGCAGACAGAGTAACTGAGTTACCAAGACCAGCTAACTAGAAAATCGTAGAACAAGGGTTCCAAGCCAAGAATTCTGGTTTATACCTGTCCCTGTGCTTACTCACTATCCTTATTTTCTCTTCCATTCTTGATGGTCTTTCTCAGGTCTCTTTCAAAAAATTGATTTTGGCAAATGCATTTCACTGACACATAAATTTAGGACTCAATTTTCTAGAAAGACCTAGAAAGCTTCAAAATAAAGAAAACCCAGGTAAATAAGTTATTTTTGGAAAGTTAGGTAATCCATTTCAAGAAGTTACTCAAATGTATGCAAATTAAATATAACCACTGAGTGGGACTTTTGATAAATTTGACTTATTACCTAGTAGCATACCCATAAGGATTTAGGAATGGGAAATTGTAACTATATTAACTCCTTTCCCTAATGGAATGTTTGAATCATTGTATGTTTTGGCTTGTAATTTTAAAAAATCACTTGGCACTGGGTCATTTTGGATTGAATTGGGAAGTTGGAATTTAGTTAATGATTGATTGTCTCAGCCCCTTGAGTTTTCATTTCCACCAACAGCTCAATTTATTATTCCTGAATCATGTTTTTTGTTTGTTTGTTTGTTTTGTTTTGTTTTTAAGATTTTACTTTTAGGTGATCTTTATACAAAATGCAGGGCTCCAACTCAACCCCAAGATAAGAATTACACACTTTACCGACTGAGCAAGCCAGGTGCCCCATGAATCACGGTTTTGAATAGAGTGTTGTACATGTATAAAATGAGAGATGTTCGGGGCGCCTGGGTGGCTCAGTTGGTTGAGCGTCCGACTTTGGCTCAGGCCATGATCCCACAGCTCGTGGGTTCGAGCCCCACGTCAGGCTCTGTGCTGACAGCTCAGAGCCTGGAACCTGCTTTAGACTCTGTGTCTCCCTCTCTCTCTGCCCCTAACCCACTCGCATTCTGTCTCTGTCTCTCTCAAAAATTAATAAACATTAAAAGAAATTGAAAAAATAAACTAAAATGAGAGATGTTCAATCACTGATACTTTATGTTAGGGCAACTTTGAAAGCTCTTTGGGATTGTAAAATAAAAGGTGCCATACAAATGCATTGTGCCTAGTATAGGCCTACTCAAGAAATGCTTCTTTGTTGAATGAATAGTCCGAATGATTTTATTAATGAAGTTGCAAGAATAGTTCACATTTGTTATTGTTTATCTAAGTATTGGGATCACAGTAAACTCAACTGGGTTTAAAGGTTAGGATAAAAAGTATATCTTGGCAGTGGTAGGGGTACTGTCTACCGAAATGCAGACACTTCAGCTCCTTTGTCTGTGTCCTGATTGACCAAATTCCTAATAGAGTTCCAGAGGCACATTTTCTGTGATTGAGTATAGTAAGTGTTCTCTCCTTGTTTGATTTGGGTAGATTGTAGAAAACCTCCACAGTAGGATAATTCATGGTTTGGTGAGCTTAAAACCTAACAGAAGTAGCAGAACTAAAGCCAAGATTTTTTTTTTTAATGTTTTATTTTATTTTTGAGACAGAGAGAGACAGAGCATGAATGGGGGAGGGTCAGAGAGAGGGAGACACAGAATCTGAAACGGGCTCCAGGCTCTGAGCTGTCAGCACAGAGCCCGACGCGGGGCTCGAACTCACGGACCGCGAGATCATGACCTGAGCCGAAATCGGCCACTTAACCGACTGAGCCACCCAGGCGCCCCCTAAAGCCAAGATTTAAAGCTCATATACTTTTATTATTACAATTAGACAAAACAAATATATATATACACACACATATGTACGTACATATATACATATATATACATAGCTTAAATTAATAGTGATGAAATATTATTTCCATTTATCACTGCCTGATTGACAACATTTTTAGGATCTTCAGCCCATAATTTCATGCAGATACTTATAAGACAACTATGCTTTGTTGCCCCCCCCCCCCAAAAGTTAAAAGTTTCTCTAAGTACAGATTTGGTTTTGAAAGGTTATTTTTAGTAAAAAGGACTGTGAGTTGGTCCCTCAAAGGGAAACCAGATATACTCTCACCTCCTTGCTGGTAGAATTTTTTGGCCGTCTTTTCCCCTAATAGACTAGTTTTGTCTACATTGAAAATTTACTGAGACAGGCAGCCTCCCTCTTAGATGATCTGCACAGGCCTTAGGGAAGAGGTTAGCAGTGACAGGTCATATAGTGAGCTGACCATTCACACTGTGTAAATTGAAAAAGGCCTCGAACTTTAGCAGTTTTATGATAGTACTTGTACTATGCTTAGCTTTTAAATTGTTAAACTCCTTGCCTTCTCCTGAATTAACACTAGACCAGTTGACAACCCAAAGTGATGTTAATTCTCTGGCCACCCCATGCAGGGTTTCTTGTTTTCCTTGTCTTCTGCTGATTCTTATTGATTCCATGGGTATAGACTTTTCACATATTACAGCCAATAAGTCTGATCCCATTACACAGGCAGCATCCACTGTTTTCTTACTTTTTACAATGATTTGCTGTCTCTAAATCTGATTCCTAATTTTGAAACATTTTCACTGTTTTTGCAATTACTGAGTATGATGGAGTTAAAAATACTTAACACCTAAAATCCATCACAAATACAACTTCCCCAGACTAAAGAGCAAATAATGGAAGCCTAAATGACTGTGCACGGTTGTTAATACCATCTAATTTTGGCCAGTAGAGTTGGTGTACGTTTGCTATGGAACCTAAGTTTCATTCTGTCTAGGAAAAGTTAAAAAAATTGAAAGTTTGGAAGCAGGCTTCTGTACACATCAGTAAACACTTTTTTATTTTTATTTATTTTTATTTATTTTTTTTAGCGGCGGGGTGGGGTCTGTCCTGCTCTCCCTCCATACAGTCACTGCTATTCTACTTTTATGACTTCGAGATTTTGGCTACAGTTCTCTAGACTCTTCAGCAATCCTGGAGACACAGTATGTAATTTGTACATTTAATATGAAAAATGCTTTGTGTAATGTGTGTTTCTCAAACTTTGTCTCCCAGCAAGAATTTATAGACTGAGCTCTCTGTATATCATCTTCCCTTCTGACGTATTCTTGGCTCTTTTCTCTTCCTGAATGTCACCAATCAGTATACGGGTCTAATAATAATTTTATCAACAATTAGTCACTTATCACTTACTATGTACAAGACATAATGCTAAGTATTTTATGTAAATATTATCTCATTTAATCCCTGCAGCAACCCTATGAGTTATTATTTCTGCTTACACGTGAGGAAACTGGAGTCTATGGAGGTGAAGTGACCAGATTCATGTGGGTAGATAGTAAGTGATGGAGTTAGAAATTGATCCCTAAGTTCCAGTTTACTTTTCTCCTGTATTGCTTTATTTTATCTAATAAACTTCTCCCCTGCCGTTTAATTTACTTCCTTCTTCTAGTCCCACCTGAGTTTTCTTTCTTCCCTTCACTTCCTCCCTTTTTAAGTAGTTATTTACAGTTTTGCATGTCACACAAATTCTTTTGGGAAGAGTATACAGAAATACATGAGCTGTATTCAGATTTCCTGTAGAAGGGGACTTGCTCTTGGAGGGAGCTTATTGTAAGAATTATGCTTGTCGCATATTATATTTGTATTGTGGTTTAGAGTTTCTTAAAGCATCCCCCCCCCCCCCACTTTTTCTTACTTAATCCTCCTGGCAAACTTTAACTCAGGTCTTTAGGTTAAAAGGTGCTGCAGGCAGTTTCCTAAGGACCGTGCACAATTGGTTGAGATGCATTTCTTGCCTTCAGCAATTTTTTTTTTTATTTAAAAAAAAATTTTTTTTAATGTTTATTTATTTTTGAGAGAGAGAGAGACAGAGCATGAACGGGGGAGGGCCAGAGAGAGGGAGACACAGAATCTGAAACAGGCTGCAGGCTCCGAGCCGTCAGCACAGAGCCTCATGCGGGGCTCGAACTCATGGACTGCGAGATCATGACCTGAGCCGAAGTTGGCCGCTCAACCGACTGAGCCACCCAGGCGCCCCTGTCCTCAGCAATTTTAATGCTGAAATAAATGACATAATCAAATGTTCTGACTTCATTCAAGCAAATTAAGAGCAAGTAACTATCATTACAGCACGGCATTTTCTTAAAGGGTATTATGGTTTTGAGATTTGAGCTTCCTTTTTGGTCAAAACTGAGAAGTTGGAATTTTAGTTCTGCATTTTAAATCATGAAATGTTAAATGTCCTCCATTCTTGTGAGTCAGGTGAATGATGGTCAAGTTGCTGCCTACCTCATGCTGCATACAATGGTTTCATTTGACTAAAATAATCTTGGTGAAGGAATGGGGTAGAGGGAGTACAGACAAAATTTCAATGGAGATCCTAACCAGGGCTTGAGGAGGTGTCTTATAGTGTCACTATTGTAGGAAATTGTATGTAAACTTTAAAGAATGGATAAGCTACATATACTCAACTTCTTTGAAAGATCAGAGAACTTATTCAATGATCCATCTTTGAAATTTTATCTTGTGCCAGTATCTCATTTTATTAAATTTGATTTGGACTAAATTTGGGTTTTTTTCCTTAGTGAAGCACCTGCCCATTAAGTTGGCCCCAGTGTGGACACACCGCATCATGTTTGCCCTTTATAGTTTTGTTTTGTTTTGTTTTGTTTTTTTGTATTTGTCAGCAGAGGCTGGTGGCCTGGTTTATAGTACTAGGGAATTGCTTTTTGTTGTGTTTTTACAAGAGATACATTTCATTTGGACACATCTTTCAAATCTGGTTGAGGATATTTTCCATATGTCCACTGTTATCTAGCCAAACAGAATAGACTTTTTCTATTTTTGTGGCTAGAGTGGAAAAATGTCAGTCCTGCATTGCATATATCTGACCCACCGATGTTCTTAATATTGGCAAATCCTAAAGGAATCGCAGACTCATAATGTTTTAGTGAGGTTAATCATCATAATTCAACATTTATCAGCTATTTGCAGGGCCCTGTGTTAGGTACCATGGCGAAATAGAGACGAGTAAAATGTGTTGCACTTCCACTTAGAAAGGTTCAATCCAGTAAGAGACATAATGTGTGGGTACAAATAACAGTAATTCATACAGAAAGTGATAAGTGAGTGACAGAGCACTGTGGGAGCAGAGGAAGGAGGGATGGCTTCTGGCTGCAGAGATTAGGAAGTCTTCCTGTGTAAAGTGAAATACGAATTGGCTATTTAAGAGTGAAGGACAGGCCAGGTAGAGGGATTAGCGTGAGTTGGATATATCTCTATAACAGCTGATAAATTGTATGTTAATTATTTACTTCTCTCTCTGCCTTGTTGGATTTGAGCCCACAGAGCTTAGAGAACAGGTGTTTTTCAGCTTTTTATTCTCTGCATCATCAACTGCTCAACCTGGTACATTTAATTAAAGCCACACTTTAGTAACATTATAGTGGCAATAGTGTATTTGGAATGGATTCAAGGGAAGAGGGACCAGAAATGAGGGACCAATGATGAGATTAACCTATTTTTATTAATTTAATGTTTTTTGATTTGAGTGTAGTTGACGCACAGTGAGTGTCACATTAGTTTCAGGTGTACGACATAGTGATTCAAGTTCTCTATGTGTTACGCTTGCCACAAGTGTAGCTACCATCTGTCACCATATGACGCTATTACGGTGTCTCTATTCCCCATGCTGTGTGTTTCATCCTCATGACTTATTCATTCCATAACTGGAAACCTGTACCTTCTACTCCTCTTTACCCGTTTTGCCCAACTCCCTCCCCCTCTCTGGCAACTATCAGTTTCTTCTATGTATTTATAAACCCGATTCTGCTTTTTGTTTATTCATTTGTTTTGTTTTTTAGATTTCACATGTGAATGAAATTTTATAGTATTTATCTTCCTAAATCTGACCTATTTCACTTAGCATAATGCCCTCTAGGTACATCCATGTCACAAATGGCCTGATCTCATCCTTTTTTATGGCTGAGTAATATTCCATTGTATAAATATATGACATCTTCATTATCCATTCATCTGTTGATGGACACTTTAGGTTGCTTCCATTTCTTGGCTATCATAAATAGTGCTGAAATGAATGTAGGCGTGCATATGTATTTTTTTAATTTGTGTTTTTGTTTTGAAGAGACTAATCTAGGAGATAGATAGTAAAGTCCTTTTTTTCTTTTTTAAGTTTATTTATTTATTTTGAGAGAGACAGCGTGAGCAGGGGAGGGGCAGAGAGAGAGGGAGAGAGAGAATTCCAAGCAGGCTCTGAGCTGTCAGCACAGGGCCTGACACAGGGCTCAATCCCATGAACTATGAGATCCTGACCTGAGCTTAAATCAAGAGCTGGACACTTAACCGACTGAGCCACCCAGGTGCCCCAGAGATAGATAATGAAGTTGTTCTAAACGAGGTGGGTTTGGAAAAGGGAGAATTGGATGGATGGGTGTTGCCCCTCCAACTTGAGACCTAGGGAGTTCTTTTGCTGTGAATTACCTGTGGGGGTACATGTCATGTCATGTACCAGGAGATACAGTAATAGAAAGACATGGTGCTCCCTCAGACAGCAGGCAGGCAGCTAGAGAGCCACACTCCCAGGTATAGAAATAATTGCAATAGCACATAGCTGCTGTGATGAGGGAGCAGTAGGAGGAGCATCTAAGGGAAAGGAGCACCTATTTGGGAGAATCAAAGCAACCTTCCAGGGAGGTGGTAATGTGTGAGCTTAAACTCGAAGGCTGAGTAGGAGTTTTTCAGGCCAGCAAGCAGCAGGAGGACATGATAGCATAGAGATCTAAGAGACTGTTTAGAGAGCCACAAAAACCTGGGTTATTTTAGTGTTGGGACGTGAAGATGGATAGGATAAATGGACTTGTCTTAATAAAATAGCTTTTTATTTGCCATGTTTTTTTTTTTTTTAATATTTATTTTGCCCAGCCCCTGCACACTGAGCTTTTGTAAGGAAGTGTTTCTGTTGCCTCTTAAGCCTAGTGGAAGGCATCTGTCTGCTCTGCTTCCCATTCCTAGCCTGCAGGTATACTGGCGGTGCTAAATTGGTGATAAATTGTGTCTCTCCTTCCATTTTGTGAAATTAAACAGAAACAATTGCTAACAATAGCCAGAGAGATAAAGGGAGGAAGCCGTGCACTGAAGACCTTTTCTCTGATGAATGCCTAGAGCCACTGGGGGTGTCATATAAAGAGAACTGCAGCATCAAAGGGTAGCTTCAAGAGTACTGGACTCAAGGGAGCAGATTGTGGTGGGAACCTAATTATTTACCTTTCCCATAAAGTTTTATGGAACCCGTGAAATTTTCCCAGAACTGTAATACCTAGTGCTAAAGTCCTTTTGTTCTGGTTTTAGACTTGATTTTTTTTTTTTTTCCATCTTCTCTACTCTGACCCTTACTATATTTTAGTAACTTAGCATGACTCTAAACTTCAACTGGTGTGAAACATGGAGTCTAGTGTGCCCCTCTCCCACCTTTTCTGGTCATTCAGAAATCTGCCCCTGCAAATCACGATTCCGAACTATGCAAACATAGTCTGTATCAGACAGCAGGAGTTAGGAAGCACTCCAGGTTTCTTTTTTACATGTTTATTTCCTACAGCCATTTATTCTTTCTGTCCTGTGGATTGGTCACTAAAACAGAATATAGAAGTTGTTTTAGAAGGACAACCAAAAAGTTCATTAGAATTATATCCATTGTGGGCCACTTGGGTGGCTCAGTTGGTTAAGCGTCTAACTTTAGCTCAGGTCACGATCTCACGGTTCATGAGTTCGAGCCCCGCATTGGCCTCTCTGCTGTCAGCACGGAGCCCACTTTGGATTCTCTGTCCCTCCCTCTCTCTGCCCCTCCCCTGCTTGTGTGCTCTCTCTCTCTCTCTCACACACACACACACAAAATAAATAAATAAACTTAAAAAAAAAAAAGAATTATATCCATTGTATTTCTAGGTCGGGGCTTAGCAGCTGTGTT